GAAATGTGCATCTAGTGCCGAGCACTGTCTTATACCATGGTTCTAGTCTTCTTGCTTAACAGATGTCCATGCCTACATTTTGCTCCGCGTCGTCTACAGTGTGCATGGGCTACCAACTGTAACCTCTGTAAGTCCGAATCTACAATAGGTATTTTAAGCCTTAAGCAATTGATCAATTACAGTCGAATTCGAGGAGAATAATCGTCTGTGATTTGCCCATTTCTTATGGCTTAAAACCCTATTGTAAATCCGGGGTAAAACCCTATTGTAGATCCAGAGTAATTTGTCAATTTCTTACGACTTAAGGCTTAAAACATCTATTGTAGATCCGGACTTACAGGAGGTTTGTGTCATGGCTTTTATTCACTCCAATGCGCTTGATAGAGTGAGTAGGAGCTATTGTAGGAGTATATTGGAGCATGTTAGAGCTTACGACACGAACAAACCTCATGTGATTCTTCCACTCCAATTGCTTATTTTAGCAGCACGTGAAAAGTCAACAAATCAAATTCTGTCTTAAGCTGGCGGCACACGATGCTTGTTTTCTTACTGGATTGCTAGATAAAATAAATTCTTGCCGCCGTATTGGCAAGCAACTACAATGCAGACGCTGTCAGTAGCCAAATACGATGGCAAGAATCTAAGGCTGCCTTCCCATGGAGAAAGAAACCACGGAACGGAATATTGACAGAAAAGAGATAGGATAATCCTCGTCCTATCTCTTTTCTGTCAATATTCCGTTTCGTTGTTTTTTTCTCCATGGGAAGACAACCTAATGCCTGTATCACACTACGCATTGGAGATTGAGGATTGCGAGAGAAAGAATTAAGGATTAGAATTCGACCAATTAGGTAATTTCAAGTTTAATCCGTTTCGTTCTAATTGGCTAAATTCCAATCCTAATTTGCGATCCTCAGTCTCCAATGCGTAGTGTGACTAGACCCTTGCGCCGCCGTGCCACGCCGCCGCCGCCGAAAATTAATACGGCGCGCCAAAAGAAAGCGAAATGCTATATATGTTCTATAAATATTTTATATACATTGGTTGGAGTATATTATATTGCGTTATCTGTAATTTATTGAAAAATACTTTGGCTGCAGTTTACTTGAAACTACAAAGGTTTCGAAGCATTTTATTGACCAATCACAGTCGATTAATCTTCTCACTTTCAAGTCTTTTGAGTGTAATTGGATAATTTCTTACGACGAGTTACGACTCCTATTGCAGATATCGCATAAATCTCGCACGCTGTCGATCCTATCGATCTATTATATACATACCATATCTACTAAATTTGTTTATTGAATAATTTAGAGTTTAATTCTTTTATGCGGGGTCTACAATAAACGTCGTAGCAGTCGTAGGGTCTTAAGTCGTAGAAAATTGATTAATCACAGTCGAATATGAGAAGCATAATCAACTGTGATTGGTCAATTTTCTACGACTTGAGACCCTACGATCTCTACGATTTCCATTGTAGCCCCCCCGCCGGTATAAACTAAAATGGCGCGGAGTTAAGTGTGACACGGGCATAATCCAGCTAAGAATCCAGGAGGAAAACAAGCATCGTGTGCCGCAGGCTTTAGATTCAATTCTGTCCAATTGCTTTTTGCTTTTTGCCATTCTTAGGATACATTGGCTGCGTTCAGCAGAGAAAGCAGCTTTGCAACTGTTGTAAAATTCTTCAATACGATTGGTTCTTGCTTTTGGTTCCTTACAGATCTAAACGTATAAACCAATCATATTGAAAAATTTTACAACAGTTGCAAAGCTGCTTTCTCTGCTGAACGCAGCCATTGGTCGCGTTCAGCAGACTCAATTGTTGCGGAGC